CCACTTCCCTGCATCAGGGGTATTTCCTGTTACATCACAAACATCAGCAAGTCGGAGTGGAACCTCACCCTTTCTTCATATCCCATCAGAGGAAATAATGCCTAGCCAGGCTCTAACTACTGATCCAAAATACACTATCATGCTGTTCTGATTGCTACATCATGCTTGCATCCCAATTTCAAAACCTTCAGTTATTGTTTTCAAAGGTCACTCAGCAGAACATGAACTGGCTTAGATGGGATTTCTAAGGACGGCAGAAGGAGTAACTGGACTCCATGATTGCAGGCTGCGGCACTCATTACCCACATTTCATTTTTAACAAGCCACCTGTCCTGGTTCAGACCTGCTGAGAACACCACAACCACGGCAAAGATCCTCAATCCTGCAGTGAACAGACAAAACCTCCCCCACATCCCACACAATCACAGAGGCTGTGAGCCCAGACAATTTCTGACCATTACCTCCCCACTCTCCATTTTAACAAAAAAGCTTCCACTGAACTGGCTCAAAAGCCTGGTCTGATGCAGCAAGAAGCAGGGATTTCCTCCCTCACAGGCTAGTGACAGGGAGACAACCTGCTGGGTAACTACAGACAGTTCTCAGTCAGGTACTGGGGGAAGCCATTATGGCAGACAATCAGTTGGCACACGTTCACACAGTTATTCTTGTATTTCAGGTCCAATCTGAGCAGGTGCTCAGTGATGCTCTCTGACCTCTGAAAGGCCCACTTTAAGGTCCTGTAACCCAGAAATGTCCAGGCAGAGCAGGGCAGCCCGTTATGTCTCCCCTGCTATAAGCCAACTTTACCAGCCCGGGGGAGTATTGGAAACCACTCTGACGTCTCTGTCTTCACGTACAGCAGGTCACAGACGGCACAAACATTGTCTTCCCTGAGCCACTTGAGAGTAAGCTGTCACCGTGATGGCCCATCCTTCAATACTCTGTATTTCCACAAACAAGGACATTGTCCTTCACAACCACAATACAACCACCAAAATCAGGACATGAACATCAATACATTATGACCGTCTAACTCTGGGATCCTAATGAATTTTTTGCTGATAGGATTTCACTTTAAAATGAAGAACCTGGTGTCATTAAAATTTCCTCTAACATTCAAACTGCCTATCTTTTTAAAGGAGTCTTATCAGATGCCCACCTACTAAATGTGATATTTAACTTGTTCTAGTTAAAAAATATCAACTTTGAGTTGAAGTCTCATCTCTGTCCTATACCTGTGACTAGCAGTGTGTCCTTAGGGAAGTCATTTAGCTGCTCCAAAGTCAATCCTGGATGGATAAGCCTCTAAGAACCTTGTGACTTTCACCCCCAGGAACCAGCTCCTCCCCGTCCAAAAGCATTAGCTCAAGTACAAGGCTGCTACGGTTAGTTAAAGGTAGGGAGTCCCTTTCAGGAGCCTCTCTCTGCGCCCGCATCTAGCTGGAGGCAGTGACTGCCCTTAGCTATGGTCACCTTGGGTGCAGGTCATTCTGGCTCCAGATGCCCAGGGAGGTTGTTAGCAGTGGACATGTGTGTCTCAGAACAATCCCTCCCAAGAAGGCCTCTATGATGTTATAAAGGGAACTGCACTGTTTGCGTAGCCCAGTTGGTGCCTGACCCTCATCTAACCACTGGGAAGAGTTCACCTTTGAGGTTTTTGTGGGCTCAGCTGCTATCATGAAGTGGTTAATAAAAACTGTTCTTTAGTAGCTAGAGGAAAATCTTTGAAAAAAATAGCCTCCCTAGGAGCAGCTGTAACATCTCAAAAAGATTGAGCACAGTTTTAAACACCTCACTTGCATGATTCTGTAAGTCAGGTTGCATTTATCAAGGCCAGACCATGGCCCAGGGGCATGCCACACTGCTGAGCTGTGAGGCAGAGCCCTTGGAAATATTGACTGGGTTCTGCTGGCTGAACAAGTTCTTAACAATTGCTCCTTGTTATCCCTGGAAACGTTCTCTCTGACTACTCATGATCCTAAGTTGAATATGAGAGCAGATCCAGTACATAAATGTTTTGTTCATGTGCAAATAAGAGCTCAAATTAACTCAGTTATAACTTATTAAAGGAAAAGAACGTTAAACCTTTCCTAACAGAGAGCTCTTTCTGTCAAAGGTACTGCTTTCCAGAAGTCGCTCTAACAAACAACACATATGATTAAACTGAATTCTCTACCAACCTCAACACAGCAAAGAAGCCTAAAAAAGCAGCAGAGAACTCTAGAGGTGGGGTTATCTACAACTGGAAATGTTATCATGTTACAGAAATACATCTGTAACACTGGGACTTTGTTGGGGAGCCCCATGCTACTTTACTCTGAACCAGGCACCTGCCAGGAAATCTTCTTGTGGCTTTAGGAATTAGATGGATTTCACAGCAGCAAAAATTACAAATGTGGACGATACTGTGAGGAGCTACTGGAAAGTCAACATATGCAGTATCGGCTTTGACATTTTCACTTCCTCTAATATGCAGGAGATTTCTGCTGGCTACATAATCAATCTAAAAGCATACAGTAATCTAGACAGCACACTATGACAATAATTTAAACAGGAACCCATGAACACTTAAGCTCCAATCTTTTTAGTAACAGAGACCAGTGGGAGGCAGGAGGGGCTGCAGAAAGTTTTCTCATCTTCCTTCTTGACAAAGATGCCATGTCAAATCTGGCTGTAGGAAATAAGAAGTCACTCCACTGTAGTGGTTTCTCATGAGGGTAGGGGACGGTTAGGGTGCCTCCTCCTTCTCCACACTGCTAAGAAGGCAATGTAAACCTCATGTGCAGATAACAAGGTCTCTCTTTGTGCAGCAAAAGCCAGGCTTTGGGTGAGAATGACAAAGACATCAGAACAAAAAGATACACAAAAAAACAGAGGGTGCCTCTCTCTGGTGATGGGAAGACTGACCCCAGGGGAATTTAGACTGTGAACATGAACTGGTACTAACAGATATGGAGGTTCAAAAGATAATTTTATTGTATTTTTACAACGTATAATGTGTGGTACAAACGTCTCCAAGGAGATGTGGGCCTGAACTGAGATGGAAGCCAGGAGAGGTGTCCTTCCACAGAGGAGCACACTTCGCTCTCCAGGGCATAGCGAGAGCCAAGGGCAGAAAGTGAAAGAAAAGCAAACTTTGATTCTATTTAAGGAAGAGCTTTCTAACAATCTGTGTTCTCCAAAAATGGAATTGGCTGTCGCGCAGCAGAGCTGGGTGGCCATCTGTCAGGGTGGGGCAGCAGGCCCAGCATCCTGAGCCAGGAAGGGCTGGGTGAGGGAGCCTTGCCTGATTCTGACAGCCCAGGGTACACGGGCACAGGGAGCTGATCTCAGCCCCAAAAAATGAACCACTGGGTGGAAGGCAGGGTTAACAGTGTCAATCTGGGGCTTTGCCTTTTCTCCTTCTGAAAACTGAAGGGAAAAAGTGACAACCTATTCAAGGGAATTTGTAGATAATTTTGACAGCTTGCGTCCCAGCATTTATTCAGTTTCTGGGTATTTCCTTCTTGACTAGAATTTTGAGAATATATTTTTTAAATGGAGAAGACAAAACAAGTCAGCAGTGTTTAGCATTTCCCAAAAAAAAGGGCACTTTAGTGGGCAAGAGGCTGAAACTGGAAAGAATTAATACAATTAAGCTGAGGGAACTCACAGTATTTACCTATTCGTGCTACCTGCATTCCCTTGCCACATTTTGAAGATTCACAGGCCTAGGACAACAATGCTTCTTTCAACTGACTTGGTGGAAAAAAGATAAAGGGCTGTGCATGTAGCAGAAAAAAACAATCAGATTGCTCGTGAAAAATGGAATTTCTAAATCAGGCTCAGGACCTGTAATAGCTGCGGAGCTGGTGTGATTCCTGTGCAGGGCTGTGTCTCATTTCTCTCTCTAAATCATGGAAATAAGCTAAGCCGTAACATAAAAATTCTACCCAATAAATGGAGGCTTTAAACAGTTTTGAAGAGAGAGCAGACTTCTCAAGACTGAATAAAAGGGAAGATGATGATTTTGCAACACCCACTACATTCCATGTATAATTTTCTTTTCAGTTTTCCCACATGTTTCCTTCCCCACCTAAATGAGAAAAATCCTCACTAGAAATAAAAAGGAAAACTGACATAAAGGTAACATGAGTGATAACACTGACTTATTTCAATAGCCAACTCGTAAGTGATAATCAGCAGTCTCAAGTACCCAAATTACACTCCTGTAAAGAAGGCAAGGACAGCTTTTTAGAGTGGATCCCAGTTTGGGGTTCTTCGGACAGGGCCTCCACCTCCCCCTGCACCCCGTCTTATTTATTCATGTAACCTGGAGCAGTAACTACTATGTGCATACAAATGCACCACTGCGCACCACCGGCTTCGGGGGATCCCAGGACCGGACCCTGGAGAAGAGAAGGAGACATGTGGGATGAAGCCTGGACGCAGAGGGAGCCAACTGAGCCAGGCTTTCCCAGCAGGCCCCCAAGGGACCCGAGCCCAACGTCACACTGCTGCTTACCCAGCTGCCACCTTAGTAACACTGTCCAGGGCTGTGGTGTGAAACATCATTAATTTAAGAGGGAAAAAATTCACCCGGTTCCAAATGCTTTTTGCTACGTCCTTCTCTATGCATAAAGGTCACACAGACAGTATAGGTCAGATGCCACAAGCAGAGCTACTGACATTTCAGGAGCTAGCAATTCCATCTTAGGACCCTCTCAGTGTGACGCCAGGGGACAGGAGCATGTGCATAGGTGTGGCACATGGAGGAGTAAGCTTATGTAAGACTCCAAACTCCAGTCTCCAAGAAACAACAAACATATTTCTACACCTTGATCTCCTAATTGTCAGGCATTTGTAAGAAGACAACTAGAAAGATGCCAACATCCGAAACACACACATGCGTCACACACACACACACCCCTCCAAGCAGATAACACTGTCCTCGAGAAGCGCAGGCCCTCTTCTCACCACAACTGGAGGAAGCTCGGGCACTGCACGGTGGAGGCACTCACCTAGCGTGTCCCTGAGGTTCTGCACCAGGGAGCCCTTCTTCAGGCTGCTCTTCCTCTCCACGTAGTTGGACGGCACGTAGCCCGTCCTGTTGGCCGCATTCCTCACCCGCCACCACGTCTTGGAGTCGTCCAGAAGCCACAGGCGCTCATTCTTCCTGATGTCCAGCTCCTGGTCCTGCTGGGCGGCATAGTCCCACTTGGCTATCACAACGACTTCCTCTGTCATCTTTCATGGAGTCCTTCTGTGGCAAAACATTCAGACGTGCTCATCAGAGAAATGACCAAACACTTTGCCCTCTGCCTCCACCTGAGAAACTGCACACAGACAGCTTTTATTACAACTCGGCCACCAGTTTCCTCCCGGGTCTTGAAAGGCTCAACCTTAAAATGACCTTCTTCCACTAAGCTCTCATATTATCTGTTCAGAGAAAGCAACCTCAGAAAACAAACCTCACTTTTGTACACTGGGAATTCTGCATGCTCTACCAAAATCACAAACTTTCAAAAAATTCTAAGTAACAATACCATAATTAAGCATGCTCATTTCATTAAATAACACCAGCTCCTTAGTGCTGGTATGTTTACATGCACTTTCTTAGGATATTGTAATGAACACAACACACCCAAACGTTTCTTACAAATTAAAATGAAAATAAATATAATGTTAATGATGCAATCTGGTATCATGAGTTGGATCCTCAAACACAATTAGAAAATTAGTTGAAACACTGGTAAAATCTGTATGAAGTCTAGTTAATAGTCATGTAGCAACGTTAATCTCTTAGGATTCACAAATGTACTGCAGTTACGTGAGATACTAACACTAGGGGAGATGGAGTGAAGAGTACTTAGGAATGCTTTGTACTATCTTTGCAACTTGTCTATAAATAAAAAATTATTTTTGTCTGCACATGGATGTTTATAGCAGCATCATTCATCATTGCCAAAACTTGGAGGCAATCAAACGGCCTCTAGTACATGAGTGGAGAAGTAATCATGATACATCCAGATAATGGAGTATTAGTCAGCGAGAAAAATGAATGAATTATAAAGCCATAAAGAAACCTTAAACATATATCACTAAGTGAAAGAAGCTAAGCTATAAAGGCTTCATTATCATCTGATTCTCACAGAGACTCTTTGACCAAACTTTAGTCAGACTCCTCTGACTCCTCTTTCCAAATTAGGCCTTGACTTTTGTATTTCTATGCCTCTCTTTGCATTGCTGAATTTTATCAAGAGCCCTGCAAAGATGGCTTAGTCAGAATCCTCCGCCCTCACCTGGATGATGCCTGGTCACCTTGGTCTGCCTTCAGGAAGAATCCTGCTAGGTAATTTAGCCAGAATCCCACATTTACCTCTGATGCCCCTCTTTGTAATGTCCATTCACCCTTCCCAGTCCTCCACCTTGGCTACAGATTCCCACTTTTTCTTCTTGAATTTGGAGTTGAGCCCACTCTCTATGCCCTGCTGCACTCTTCACCACCTCGTAGTGGTCCCCCTGAATAAAGTCTGCCTTACTATTCTTTAACAAGTGGCATGAACAATTTTTTCCCTAACAACCCCAACTATATGACATTCTGGAAAAGGTAAAACTTAAAACTTTGGACACAGTAAAAATATCAGTGGTTGCCAGGGACTGAGGGGAAGGAGGGTGGACTGGTGCAGCACAAGGATTTTGGGGGGCAGTGAAACTATCCTGTTGATCCTTTAATAGTGGGTACATGCCATTATAGATTTGCTAAGACTCACAAAACACCAAGAGTGAACCATAACATAAAATGATTCTTAAAAAAAGTTTATTAAAACAAATATTTACATTATATAGCTAGTTAATTCTATAAATAAATAACAAAGGTACACCTGAATGACTAAACTGAATAGAGCTATCAACTATTTCAGCAGTGCCATACTTATTATGCAGAAGCCGGGGAGGAAGGGGGAAGGCAGTATTTTTTCAGCAGAAAAAATATAGTATTTAGTCCTTCAACTGAGCAGCTTTCTCAAAACTAGGAAGAAAGGCATAATGGAAAGCCTCTTAACTAAAACCCCCTTCCTCTGATAGAGAGGAGCTCTCATTTTTTATATGTTTGACTTCAGGATTAGAGGGGACCTATGCACACTGACTCCATGGAAGCATAGAAATCATTTTTAAATAACATGACACTTTCTGCTATACACTACTAAAGAAATTTATAAATAATACATGTTGTCTTTTTTCATGAGTCAACTTCCAAATTTAAAGATAACACACTTTTCCAGAAGGAGGAAATGTTTAATAAACCTCATACATTATGTATATGACATCCAAGTGGACAGTGTTTACACAAAGCTCATTTACAAACTGGAGACCTTTCTGTTATCTACTCTCAGAAAATCTCCAGTCTGTACCATGTGCCTCTCCCTCTGTACTCTGACCTGTCAGGTTAGACTTTGCCAAGTCATAAAGGCAGTTTTTCTTTCTTTTTTAAAGTAACGAGAGCAGTAATAGGAATGGGGCTCAGAGAATATTCCATCTGAATACTGGGTTTGTTTCTCAATTACATCATTTTCAAAAGAGTTTTTAATAAAAACAGCCCATCACTTAAGACCAATCAAAGCAATCTGTTACTGTGCCACTGATTGAACGCATGAGCAGCAGCTGGGGAGAGCTGGCTGGGCTTGGCGTGTTTCTGTTCGCCCTGAACACCGCGTGGAAGCTTCAGAAGCCCAGAGCCCGGGGCTCCTGCACAGACCAGCCCACTGCTTCAGGATGTCCGGGAGGGAGGCCTGAGAATTCAAGGTTCTGTATGGCTCATGCTGCCAACAGGCCTTATAAAGCAAAAACCAAGTAAGTGGGGAACCGGGTGACAAACGCCCCCCTAGGATGCTTTTCCTGGGTCACCAGACCAGTGGGCTGTAATGATGCTGTGCACAGGCAGTGTAAGAAAGTGAACTCCTGAGTGTGCACTGGGTACCTGACACTGGTCAGCTTGTTCCGTCTCCAGAACACCCATCTTCCTGGGAGGTACGATTCCTGAGCAGACTGAGGGCCGCATAGATGATGTGACTTGTTAAGTGACCAAGCCAGGACTTGAGCCCAGGTCTGTGGACTCCCAAATCTGTGCTCGCTTCCGGCGGGGAGTCAGGTGGGGCTGAGGGTCTCCTGTGGAGCCTTTATTTTGATAGCTTATCTGACCCCGGAAATCCTACCATTCTATGACAGGTGAAAATAAAAGGCTCCTGTGCACATAGGCAATGCCTGCTTGATCCATGACCATAGCGATGGGCCTTGAAGCTATCCTAATGGATTTATGACAGCTTCCCATCAATATGAAAGCCTCAGGAGACCAACCAATCAGCACGCACCTCGTTCCAGCACTTCCGAATGCCAGCCAGTCAGCAGCAGGCCCCTCAGAGTCATCACGCATCTACATTAAAGGCCAACCAATCCCTGATCATATCTGCTTCCGAAAAACAACGAACACCTGATCCTGCATTTCCCAAAACGCTCCATCAGAGGCAGGAGCCTGGGAAGCACATCCTCCCTAGTCAACAGGGAGCACGGCTAACCCCGTTTCAGGTGTTGGGTGGTGGCCACGACAGATGCCCGCTGGGACCCCAATGAGTGGGAAAGAGGAGCGCTCACGTGAACAGGAGGAATGCAGGGCATGGAAGGTGATGCTGAACACCCCCCAGGTAATGGCCAGTCAGCCAGGCTTGGGGAAGAGTAAAAGGAAACTGATTTCAGTCTTGAAAGATGGCTATAGGATTTGGAGGGGCCACATTCAGGCCAAAAAATTGTGAGCAAGAACCGGGGGTAAGGGTGCATTACTACACAGAAGAAATAAAAATAAATTACTCTGGAGAGTAATTTAAATAAAGAGTAAACTGAACATGTACTTCTGGATGTTTTCTTTCTCAAGGCCGTTTCAAGGTGAAGCAGGCACCCTTCCCTGCCCCACATCACCCTGACTCCTGGGGACCTCTGATCTCTTTGCCAACACAGGCCAGGAGGCTGATCCAGTCAGTTCCGGAGGGATCCGCACGTGGGACAAGAGTTCGTGTTGTGCCGCCGAGGCCTCGGGAGGCTGTTTCTGAGGAGTTCAACAGGAGCATGGGTTATTTTCCACTAAGAGTAATCTGCTATGGCATGTAGGATGGACTGGGGCAGGAAGAGACTGGAGATAATTCAAGATCATTCCACAATAAAACTAGACACATGACTGACTCAAATTTTTAATATGGAAAAGACAGTCTCAAAAAGTACATTCTAACCAACTAACTAGTGAAATTCCAATTGAGTCTAAGATAGAATCTTAGGGTCAGATCCAAAGAGTAATACATGTTTATCACCCAGCGGAGGCTATTCAAGAAAATCTAATTTTTGCCTTCATTAACTGCAGGTAGTTATTACCCAGGTCTAGCCAACAAAAAGAATCACAAATTTGGTATTATACCAGCCAGATCATTCCTTATGTTATGTGACTACTGTAGCCTAAAGCTTAGCAAAAATCCCATGTTATACCGAATCAAGGCAACATCCAGAGAACCTAAAAAGCTAAGCTGCTCTGTCAAGTCTTAGGTGGGAGATTAAAACAACAGACAGACAGAATAGCTACAAAAATTTTCTTGGCTCAACAGTTTCCACTAACTCCTAAAATCACATCAATCCTATTCTAGGGCCCTACTTTCTTTCTAAACATGATCCTGTTCACTGCATCATGATGGGTGGGTGACGTACACCTCCAGTAGCCAGTGTTCCTACAACATCCCAAACAGTCACAGATATTTCCAAAGAGGGCTGAGGGACAAAGCGGAACTGCTTGGTCACAGAGGCAAATAGAAGACATGAGTCAAGAGTCTGGGATTCTGTGCTTATTATCTGAACTATTTATGGGTCTGCCTTGGACTTCAGCTTATTCTGTAAAATGGGAGGAACCATATTTGTCTTGCCTCACATGGTAATAAGGTAGTTTTTAAGAAGGCCATGCAGCTGTGGGTCACTCCTGCTGGACACCTGTGCCCACCTACCTCTTCTGTAACAGGGGAAATGACAGGGTTTCTCATAAAGAAACACTGCCCAGCACAGAGGAGACTAAAAAATGGGGACCCCAGTCACAATTAAAAGCCTCTGGACTGCAACGCACTTTATAGATGTGAGGTGGGGGTATGTTCTCCTGCCCCCTTCCATCAATCAGGATTTACTAAGCACTCACCATGCAGCAGCTCCAGGGCTCCTTGTGAGAGAGATAGACTGGTGGGTGCTCCCCTAGGACTGAAGCCCTACGCACCTTCCTCCAAGACAGCTCCCCTGACCTCCCCAGGAAGCAAGCCTCCCTGCCCGGCCTCGCCTCCCCAGAGGTGATGTAGTGTACAAGGTACTGCTTTACTCCCTGAAGAGCTCCTCACGCCCCTGAGAGCACCTGTTCACCAACTTACTCTCTGGGAGGCGCTGTTACATGCTGACAGCGGCTGCTGAGGCTTCCACCACCTGGTTTCATGGCCACTTGGGAATAAAGCAGACTCAAGAGTCAAGGTTAACACACATCTGCCTCATTTACCCTTCTGCTGACTAACCCACATAGCCCGCTGCAGGAAAGACCAGGGTCACAGAGCTTTAAAAAACTGCCAATCCCATTTTGTAATATAAACCTTACATGGAGTATGACTTCTTGGACTTAATTCAAAATATATAGATAGGTAAGTGGACAGGTCAATAGACAGGTAAAACAGGTATAACATTTTACCCTAGAATATTACCTTGGAATTTCAGAAAAGTACATATATGCACATGTGGGTATGGACATATCAAAATATATGTGTCTATGAGCAAATAACTGATTTCAAGAGTAACAAGGTAAGAAAAGAAATTAAGCCTACATGAAAAAAAACCTGTCATCCCTACCTTGATTTTCAACAAGAGTCTGAATTACTCAAATAATATAATATAATCTACTTTACTATGGGTCTAGGGATTTTTTCTTTGTAATATTTCATGCCTTCAATGCAGTTGGTCAATTACTATAGAAACTCAGTCACATAAGGTTTTTATTTTAGCATATGTGGTAGGAAGAATTACCCCACCCGGAAGCCTGTGAATATGTTAGATTACATGACAAGGGCAATTCAGGTCACTGATGAGCTCATCTAGAGGTAGAGAAGTTAGCCGTGATTATCCAGGTGGGCCCAATGTGCTCACAGTGGTCCTTCTGAGCCCCACAGGGAGGCAGCAGAGTCAGATTCAGAGATGCTCTACAGCTGCATCTACACAGGGAGGAAGACACCAGGAGCCAAGGGTTGCAGGCAGCCTGTAGAAGCTGGAAAGAGCAAGGAAGAGATTCTCCCCCAGGGCCCCCAGAAGGACTATGGCCCAGCTGACACCCTGATTTGAGCCCAGAGAGATCAGTGTCCGACTTCTAACCTCCAGAGCTAAAGAAGATAAATGTTTGCTGTCTTGAGCCAGTAAGTTTGGGGCAAGTTGCCACAACAGCAGGAAGACACTAACACAGTGACTGTGCTAACTAAGGTCAGTTCACAAAGGGAATACTTACTATGCTTTCCCTCATTTATTACACATTGTATCTGCAAGTATTTAAAAATAGTACATTTGCATTATGGAGACCTACTAAAAGAGACAAGTTCTGAAGCAACCAAAATACTTTGTAAATTCTTTATTAAAGTTTCAAGCTGTGTTGTAGATGAAAGACTTGCCAGGTGCCAACTAATTTGACAGGAGCTGGCAGGAGCCTGTGGCATCCTGTTGGGGGACAGAATGGCCAGTTGGTGGCTTTTTACAAGCAGCATTACTAATTACAGCTGATACACTTTGACTTTACCTAGGACACAGGATGGAATCTAGTGGCTGATCCAACTCTCAGTAAGTTAATTAAGCTGTGACAAGAGTCAAGTTCTTACCACTTCCCTGAGGCAGAAAAAGTACTCTACACATAGAAAAGAAAATAAACAGTGGCTCTCAGCTACACACCTTTTATCTTCAGAGGGAGAGGTGCCAGTACAAGCTGCCACCTCAGTAGGTGAGGGGCATGTGGCTGGAGGTGAAGGCTAGCTGCTCATACTGCCATGGTGATGCTGCATTCCTATGGGTCAGCTCATCTGATGTTTACTGCAACCCTCTGAAACAGAAATTATCTACAGATATGTTTAATGAATAACAAAACTAGGGCACAGAGATACTAAATAACTCATCCAAATTCACAAAGCTGGAAGGGCCTGAGCTGGGATTCAAACCCACAAGCACTGTCTCATCACAAAGCCCAGGCTTTATCTATGATCGTCTACTGCACAATTTGGCCACATGGCTGAGAAAATCTCAAGGGTAAGGTAGATGCTAATAAACAAGAACTGAATTTCAATTTCACTGTAATAAACTGGTAAGAGGAAAAACTACGGGGAAAGGAAGAGCAGGAGCCCCCAGTCTTCCAGGCATGAGCCGGAAGGGTCTTCAAGTTTTTATATTTCATTAAAGGGGGTAAAGGAAGCCCAGCCAAAGGCACAGGTAAGTCTCCCTCGGGACTCAGGGCTGAAAGCCTCAGTTCCTCCGCCCCTCCCTCCCTCCAGCAGGGAGCAGGCTGTCCTGTGGTCCTGTAGCGGACCGCCACCGCCTGGCAGCCACTCCGCACAGCATGGTGGAGCAGGAGCGCACGGACAGAGGCTTCTGAGTCATGAAGACCTGGCGACCTTTGCTCCAGGGGTTATTCTGGAGAGGGTTTCTTTATTTGTTTCCTAATTTTATTAGGTAATGATCAAAGCCTGTGGCTCATAAAGTCTCTACATCTTGGAATTTGTGAAGGTTTCCTTTCTGGATACCGAGGTGACCCATTTCTGTGAAGTTCCTCTCCGGTTGGAGAAGGCCAGGGTTTGCAATCCAGACTCAGCACCACCAGGTGGAAAACCTTGGGAGAGGCTGCTTGGCCTTCCTGACCCCCATTTCTGTGACTGTAGATGGGGTCAGAGCTTCTGTGAGCCGATCCACAGGAAGTACCTACTACCTGGATATTCTTAAGACATTCCTGCTCTACATATGTCCATGTAATGCCGGGTCACAAGATGCACTGGACTATGATAGTGTCATTTAAAGACAGAAAACATAGAACAGCATGAAGACTAATGCTCAGAGGTAGTGTCACGAAATTGGGACAGGACTGTGAATCCTATCTAGGAAGCTTTATGGAGATCCCAGCGGGTCTTGGGTATATCTCAGCTCCCACTGTGGCTAACACTAATGACATCTCTGTGTGTTCAGCCTACTATGGACATGTCCATAGTACTTACTAATTAAAATACATTTATAGACAAGAAGGTGTGGACAAGCTATTGTCAAAGCATAAATTTAAATTATTTGTTGATGTTTATTTCAGAGAACCAGTGAAAAAAGACCTACGTACCCAGGATGGGGGAAACCCTTGGCCTCTTCCCTCCCCTCCTCTGATGCCTGCTCCTTCCTGGCCCCCCACCCTCTCCTACCCCATCAAGTAAGCAGCTCACCTCCCACCAGTGGCTGTCAGGCTCTTATGCCCAGGACTGTCTCCTGGACTGCTGGCTCCACAGCACACTGGCATCTTTCTTGCCCACTGGGCCGACCCCATGACCCAGAACAGCATGTACCACTTTTTAAACAGTGATTACAGTAAGTTTTAGCAGAACTCAAGCACAGAAAATGCCATGTGATTTCTTAAATTGTGGTAAAATGCACAGCACGTAAAACTTATCTTTTTAACCAATTTTAGTGTACAATTCAATGGCATTTTAAGTACATTCACACACTGTGGTGCAGCCATCACCACCATCCATCTCCAGAAATCTTCATCTTATAAAACTGAAACTGTCCTCATTATACACTAATGCCCTTCCCCCTTCCCCTGAAAACCATCATTCATTCTATATGTCTCTGCAAATCTGATCCTCAAGGGACCTCATATAGGTGGACTTACACAGTGTCTGTCCTTCAGTAACTGATTTATTTCACTTAGCATGGTGCCCTTAGGGTTCATCCATGTTGTAGCATGTGTCAGAATGTCCTTCCTTCTCAAGTCTGAAGAACATTCTATGGTGTATATATATCCACATTTTGTCCTTTAATCCATTGATGGACATGTGGGTTATTTCCACCTCTTCACTACTGTAGAGGCTGCTGCTCTGAACACAAGTGTGCAAATATCTCTTTAAGACTCTCAGTTTTGGGGTATATGCCTAAAAGTAAAATTGCTGGAGCACATGGTAACTCTATTTTTAGTTTTCTGAGGCACAGCCACACTGCTGTCCCTAACAGCTTTACATTCCCACCAACAGTGCCTGTTTCAATTTCTCCACATCCTCACCAACACTTGTTATTTTGTTTTTATGATAGCAGCCACCCAACTGGATATGAGGTACACATAATTTTTTAAATTAACCTTCTTTTTACTAGATCTCGAACAGGATTTAATGAGTGGCAATTCTCAGGAAAATTTTATACTTTGTGATAAATCTAGGGTTTTCTGCTGTACCCACCTCCCCATTTTTTTAAAGTGAGTATCTACTTTTAATTCATACTTACTGTCAGTATCAGGCATTCCCTTCCCCCAGTCAAATCACATCAGCAAAAATACCTTAAAATGTGAGTTTATCAACCAGTTTTCAGGAGTTAATCACCAAGCAACTCATTTTACTATGTGAAATGCCTGGACACAACAAGTGTCCCAAAGACTAGACTGGAAGGCAATACAGCTCAGTAGTGTCCTGGACATTTCACAGAAGAGATGGAATTGGACACGGTTGCTTCAGCTACATTCTGGGAAATGCGATTTTTTACTGGTAATTTACCATTTACCACTCAAACATTTTGCTGACCACCCCCCCCATGGGTGTCTTTGACACTCATAACACTGGGAAGAAGGTTGTGTATGTTAACCAGTGTCTGAGTCCAATCATTTTGGAGACTCACTGTCAATTTAATAAGCCAAATGCATTATATGGTATTAACTGTAAAACAAAACAAACTCCAAAGAACTGCACTGGACTGGCATTGATGCTGCCTTTCATCAACCCAGAGGACATCACAGGACTGGAGTGATGGGAAAGGGGTCAGTTAAATTCACAGAAACAGAGGAGAAAGCGGCTGCCAGAGGCAGAGGGCAGTTGTGAGGGGCAAGCAGAGGCTGGTGAAGGGCAGAAGCTTGCAGCTGTTAAGATGACCGGGTCTGAGGAGCTCGTGTAAAGCATGGCACCTGGAGGTACTGTACTGTACACTGCAACTGCCAACTACTCCTCGGTTAAGCGGAAATCAACAAGAAAAAAGAAAATTAACACCCATCTACGAAAGTGAACACTGATCTCTTTGGCAAAACTTGACCCTCCTTTAAAACACCAAGAGGGCATCCATGTCTTCAGATCAATGCGTGCCCACTGTTCCCAGCACAAACAGCCATCAGTCCCCATTTTTAGAAGTTGATTATGCTGTGATTTTTTTCCCTCCACAACTAGAAGAGTCATTTTAACTTACAATTTAAGTATCTATTTCACAAACATATTAAAACATAAACGTCAGGGGCTTCAACTCCTACTAGTGGGTCCAGCCACACCAGCCAGTACCTGGCCTTTCCCTCCTATTTTGCACTCACTATTCTCTGCCTTGTTCTACAAGGCGAAACACACACCACTTGGTTCAGAGACATACTCCAGTTATCTGGGTCTTAGGATGTACAAATGTATTTAAGCGGCGGGAACCACTGTAGCTGCTCAGATTTACATGGTTTATGCCCATATTCCTAGGCACTCCATGTTTTATATTTTTCTGTTTAATGGGGAAGGATATTAGAGAAAGCCCCTCTGTACCTGGCTAGGGACAAGAACCCTCACCCACAATGCTCAGCATGCAGCCTAGCTCAGGTGGGGGCTCAGTACACAAGGGACCAGGACTGCTCCAGTCTAATCACTACATGAAAACCTCTACAGATGCTTCTGGAAAGATAAATGCTAGTATTTATCCTAAATGTAGGATTCTTCTAAGGGCATCTCCCCTATCATTCAAGAAAACAGAATCAGGAAATAAAGACTTCGAGTACCTGTACATGGTTTGTTTAAAATAAATTTTATTTATAGCAGCTGTTTTAGTTTTCCCTATTATTAACACATTACATCTGTATGGTGTGTTTGCTACAATTATAGGCCAACATTGATACATTATTAACTGAAGCCCTGTTTTATTTAGATGCCCTTAGTTTATACCTAAAGTCCTTCTTCTGTCCCCAATCCCATCCAGACGACCACATTCCCCTTCAGCTCCTCTGTGTTGTGATAAGTTCTCAGATGTGTTTGTTTCAATGACCTTTTACAGTTTTGAGGACATGCATCAGGTGTTTGCAGACTGGCCTCAGTCAGGATGTGTCTGCTTTTCTCATCAGATTGGAGTTATGGGTTTTGGGGGAGGAAGACCAGAGGTAAAGTGTCATTGTTGCAGCACAATGACACCAACATGGCTTGTCACTGTGATGCTGGCCTTGACCACGTGGCTGACACGCTGTCCGCCAGGTGTCTCCCCTGTGGAGATATTCTTTCCCCTTCTCCATCCTGTGCTTTTGTGGAAGGTGTCTTGAAGCATAGCCCACACTTAAGGGTAGGCAGTCATGGTAGTTCTGCACAGATTTGTCTTTCCTCCTCCATTTTTAAATTTAAGATTTATTTAATCATTTACTGATATCAGTATGAACTTATGAGTATTTATTTTATACACTGGGTTACAATCCAATCCTTATTTATTTTGTTGCTCAGATTGTTCTAACTCTGGCCATAGGGAGCTCTCTGGATGGCTCCTGTGTTTCTCTGACTTACCTCCTTAGTGTGAGGGTGTGTTTGTGTGGACGCATTCAAGTTCTGAACACATCCTTACTTTCTGGCACCACGAGAATGCTCCAGACTCACCTTGTAAATCTGCTGTGGCATCTCAGAATCAATGTAGCTTATTCACAGTAACCAGCAGTAACTACATCCCAGTTTTGTACCTTTACAGACAAGTGTTCTCCCATGCTGACTCTAGTCCTGGGTCACAGCATTCTTGAAGAAAGTAAAGCAGCTGTTCTGTACACTGATGCCATTAGACTTCAACTAGCCTTCCTCCTGCTAAGCAGTGCAGTTA